CCCTTCCTCGGGCAGCTGCGCGGGCCGGGCCGGGGGGTGCTGCCGCCGGAGGCGCTCACCCCCCGCCGCCCTCCGTTTTCTCTTCGCAGTGCCCGGGGTTGCCGAGTTCGCCGCCTCCTTCAAAAGCGTGAGTGGTCGTCGCTTTGCCTTCGCGGTTCCCCCTCCCCGTGCGGTGTTGGACCTGCTGTTGCCTCTTGTCTTTGCTCTGTAAAGCATTTTTCAATTATAACTTCAGTATAGGCTAGCATAGTCCTTTCGGTTTTAATATCTCTTTTATATTTTTTTGTTATACCTTATGCAACTTGCCGTGAATGAGAATTACACCTTGGAAGAAATAAAAGGTTTTAAACTTTAGGAGATCCCGCTTTTCATACTGACTTTGGCTGGTGAGTGGTAGTGTGCTGCTTTTAGCTCTAAAAAGTCCAGGGAAAGCTAGAAAACAAGATTAAACATAAACATATCTCTACAGAGCACCTGGAACTCTCGTATTTTTACTGTCAGTGTAACTAGTTTTCAGTAAGAGATCAGAGTTCTCTGTATAATTCTAAAAATGAACTTGTCTGAGTATGAACTGGTATTTCTTTTTCAAAACAGCCTATTACAAGTTCTCCTCCCAAGTGGATGGCTGAATTAGAAAATGATGATATCGATATGTTAAAGGGTGAGTACAGACATTGTGGGTAGGAAGTAAAGTTGCCAAAGCAGATGGGAGTTCAGTACTTAAGAGGCTTAAAACACTTGTTCTTTAAATGTTCTGGAGGTGGCCCCGTGGCCTCAGATCTCTAGCCCTCACAGTTGCAGAATCTCCAGCTCAGGAGTCTCTTTATCTTGTTAATGATATACATTTTTCATTAATCCAGTTATCTCCAAGAGAACATCCAGATGTCAGTGGCAGGCTGATTTTTCAAAACAAGCATGCAAGAACTAGTTGAAGCGGTGTAACGTTACATATATTTCGGTTACCCTCCTTACTAATCTCTTACTGCATAAGTATAGTGGGTGTCTCCTGTATTTTGGTGGGCTTCAGCTGATCAGACTTGGTGAGCAGCTTAGACTTGGTGATTGACTTGTTCAGAGATGCTCTGTGTGTGTGTCTTCACTCGTAGATCCAAGATCTCTAATCAAACGGTAAGGCTGTATGAGCACGTTACGGAAGGGTTAGCTAGCATGTAGATTTGCTGCATGTTACAGCTGTTAGTTTGCAGTAAACATCCTTGAGCATGCTCTGCCTCTCATGTGAATTCCAGATAAACTGTTCCAAAGTGAAAGTGGGACGAAGTAACTTTGACTTGCTGCAAGAAATCTGCTTAAACGCACACTATTAATGTATAGTAAGCCCATTCCCTCGCATACTCTTTTGTAGCTTGTTCACGTAGCAGTGTGAACTTAGAAGAACTTGCAAAATGTAGGGCAAATTGCTCATTGCAATGGTGGCACATTACAGTATGAACCAGATCCGTGGCTGTTTTTTCCAGTAGAGAAAACTGGTCTTTTCTCAGTATGTTAAAATCAAGGGTGGCATCAGCTTGAATTTCAAACATACTCTGGTCACTGGAAATAGATGTTGTCAGAAGTATGACTTGAAAGTGCTCTGTGAAGTAGTAAACAGGTAAACTGTCGCTAGAGGGCTATAGGCAGTGTTCACATTCGCGCTTTTCTCTCTTCTTAGAGTTGGGGAGCCTCACTACAGCTAACCTGATGGAAAAAGTTCGTGGCCTGCAGAACCTGGCTTATCAGCTGGGACTGGATGAATGTAAGTGCTGTATGCAGATGCGACTGACTGCGTTGCAAATCTTCCCGCTGAAGTGTGAGCTCATGGTACATTTGTAGCTGGAAAAGTGTGCTGGCAGGTTTGGCAAGTGTCTGACAGTCCCAGTTAGTGACCTTCCAAAACAGGATGAGGGAGCGAGCTTACATCTCCAACTTACAGCCTACCTGCATGGGGGAAACAGCAGAAATAACAAGGGGCCATATGTCAATCTGGTGTTGTCTAGTGGCGCATAGACTCCTCTTCCTGACTTAACGTTGCCTTAGATAAATCAGGTCACTTTGCTTAATTTCCCACTCAGATACTAAAGCTGTTTCTCAGAATACTCGTGGCAGTACTTCTGTCAGACTTCATGCACTGCCTCCACAGTGAAACTTTCACTTGTGTATGGGATTCTCCTGTCACTTAGTGTTCATACAGTTTTCTGCTTCTGTAGCTGTTGGTTTTTTTTTTCTGCACTCAATTGTGGCAGGAGGTGATGTCATTGAGCACTAAAGTTGACCTTCATCCCACTTAAAAACTGATAAAAATTGGCTGTTTGTTTGAAGAAGGAGCTGCTTTCATCATTGCATTTAGGACTCTTGTTAACAGGTTGATCCAGCTTTGAGGATTTCAAGAGTGTTGTGTTTCTTTTGAATGCTACCTGTACATACTGACACATTTAGTTTTTTCTGCTTAATTTTGCTCTAGCATAGACCTTAGTTGCAGTTACTCTTGGGCTATGCAAAGCGCCAAAAATTTTAAAACTTACAGGTCTTTCACCTTCCTTTCAGTAGATACCAAAAGCAGTAATAGACCTTTAGAGTCTTCCTGACTGTAAACCTAGGATACTCTAATGCTTTCTTATTAACAGATCATTAAGGCTATTTTAACACGCTCCCTGCAAGTTTGTTTTACTTTCAGTGCTAACATCTGTTAAGACTGTGTAGAGCATTTAGTGAAGTAGAACTATGTAAAACTGAGTCAAACACAAAGATTGGCTGATGATTGGCTTTCTCACTTAAGTGGTAGGCTTAAATGTCAGCCAGCTTTGTCCAGCTAAATGGAGTTTAAGCAGAGCCTGAGTTACATTAAAGCTAACAAGGTGGTTGTTTCCGTAGCAATGTTTGTTGCATGCATTGCCATTTATTTTTACTGCGAACAAATAAATATAGAAAGAAGACAAAGTGAGCAAACAGTGAATTGTCTGAGGTCCAACAGTTATAACCTTTAGTCTGTAGTAACAGAAATCTTGACTTTTCAAGCTTTATGAAAGCTCTCCGTGTTTGTAACTTCTTGTCACTGAAGTCTGTTTTCCTTTAGGCTATAATACATTGCATGCTTTTTGTGTCATAATATACATTTAACTTAGGAAAATTTTCACAGAAAATTAGATGCAGAGTTTGAACAGAGCTTCTCAGGACAGGTTTTCCTAATACTGTCTTTAAGCTATTTTCTCTTACAGACTTAGGTAAGTGAGAGAATAAGAAGAAAAATCCAAAAGATCTGTTCATTAAAGTTAAGGGACTTGTGATTTTGGTCCAGAGGTATTGGATTTGATTATATCTTTGTGTACTGAAATTTACTAGCCCCCTTTTGACTTGACTGTTAATTGAAACTGGCTATGAAAGAGGATTAAAACTGATTAAAACTGCTGCTGACCAGTCTCCTCTAGATGGCAGCATGAGGCTTCCTGCAGAAGTCTTGCTGCTTTTTCCTAAAGCTGTACTGTTTCAGTCATGATTTGAACTTGTTCTTCCTAAGATTGTTTTTTGTGACATATTTCCTGTTCTGAAAGTGCGTTGTCTTTTTTTTTTTTACAGTATTTTCAAACGTTTTATCTGTATTGAGTGTGAGAAACAATTTGCTTCCTTGTGTTAGCAACTTACTTTTCCTTCCAACTCTCCTCTTCTACATCCCATCTCAAATCCTTTATATTTTCAAAGACTTCTGTTTTCATCCAACTTATTGATAAAATGCCGTGCAGGACCAGAGTGATTCCTGCAGCACTCCATGACGAATGTATCTATTGAGTGACTTTGTAGTTACGTTGTGAGGTCTGTTATTGAACCAGTTCACAGCACGCTTCATGTTAATTTTGCATTAGAATTCATTAGGCAAAGAGACGTGTGGGACTGGGTACCTTTTGAAAAGTTTATTCATTGAGGTACTATTGCAACACTAAAATTGAAATCTGAGCAATTGATTTGACATGATGTAGTTTGATAAATTAATAATTACTGAATTACATGCCTTGTTTCTTAAATTCATATGAACTGTCTTACTATTTTGTCTATATAAGCGGGCTTTCTTGACAAATTTGGAACAAATGCATTGAATGCTTTGTCCATCTTCGCTGCTTTCATCTAGGAACAGTTGAATACTATTACTTGGATTCCACATTTTTACCATATATAATTCCTGCTACATGGATTTCTCAGTTCCTCTTTTGGTTGCTTGCTTCTCACAGATTTCTGTTCTTTACAAATAACTTTCTCCCCTCTTTTTCTCATAAGGTTACCTTTACTTTCTGTAACCCTGGCTATTTTTTTGAATGCCCCATGGCTTCTGTGAATCAAATTAAATTGTTAACATGTAACTTACACTTTCTTTCCAGCTTGGTGACATCTGCTTTGATTTACAGTTGTCCTCCACTTTTAAAAGTAGGCAGTTTTACAGTCTCTGCTATTTCACTGGTGCGCACTTTAAGCTGCATATTCTTATGTGATTTAAATGATTATATCTTAATTAGTGCCAGAGTTCTGTGAAAGTTTTTCTTTATCAGATGAAACTGAATAGGCTTGCCCTGCTTGGATTGTAACAGTAAGTTCAAGAAAGAGTCGACTAGAAACTTCAGGGTTGACTTTTACTGTTAGAGGTCTGAGATACAGTGCATGTCGTTCAGGCTGGAATAATGCTAACAGAGCTTCCTCCGGTATCTTATACAGGCATCTGAGGAGTTGGGCTTCTTGCCCTCTGTTACGATTTCTGTGCCATATAGCACGTACCTGTTCAGACTGCAGTAGCTTTATCTGATAACACATCAGTCTCTGAGCGTGTGGGATGATAATGTCAAAGGAGACCTTTGACAACTGAAATAGTTAATGCTATTTTTGATAATGCCAGCTCCCTCCTCCTCGTCTGGGGGTTCAGTTACTTCTTTCTGAATAAGGTAACTGTTGATCTGTCCAGCCGTGTGTCTGATTCCTCTAGCTTCGGTAGTACCTAATACATTTAGTTCCTACTCAGACAAGATAAGTTGCTTGGTTTTGGTGTTGTTTTACTTTTGTAGTTTAAAAAGACTTCTGTTTGGCAGATATTTTGCAACTTTGTACCTTTTTTAACCAAATGGATAAATGAGCACCTTGCTTTTTTAAAGACATATTTCTGACTGCTGGCTGCACGATTTCCTGTACTTTCATTTTCCTTTTACTAAGATGCAGGCCATTAAACTGCCAGTAAAAGATGGGCTCTCTTCCATAAATCAGAATTTCTTATTTGCACCATTTAATTTGCTGGTGACTTACACTGAAGATCTTTCTTGTGGATCAGAAAGGATCTCCGAGGTGATCATGGGGAATCCCTTCTTCAGCTCTCCTCCTAGCATGCTAGTAGGTGGATTCTTGCTCACTTATGTCTGTTTGTTGCAGAATATTCTTCCCTGCCTTAGCACAGAATTCACCTAAAGGATAGCCTTCCTTGAATGAAGCAAGATTTTTGTAGCATGAACCAATGATTTTTTGTTTGTTTTTTTTTTTATTTTTACTCTCCTCTTAAAGGATAGGCTATCCTTAGGTCTCTTGTTTGTGCATTTATTCTTTGCTACAAGGTGGTTCTGGAGTTCTCCAGCAGCTTCCAGGCTCAGGATGTGGTATCAATAATAATAAAATCTTTTAAAAATAAATTATTTCTTAATGCCTCTTCTGAGGTCTCAGCTTGTGTTTCCTTGCCTTCTTTTTCAGCTATGTAAAATTCTACCTCATCCTCTTGCTTGTTACTGCTTTTTTCTTTTTGCTTCAGTTCTCTCATTAGAGCTTCTATTTTCCTTCTGTTAATTTTATTGGTTAGAATACATTTAAACCATTTTTAGTGTTAAAAATCCTGCTTTGTGTGGATTTTGCTGTTCCTGTTAATGTGGGTATTGCAAGGTTGGGAGGAGGAACAGGGCTCAATGAACACACCTACTTTTAGTTGTTCATGTAGTCAGGGTGACTTTGGGAGGCACAGTATCGCTGCTGAATGTGAGCTGCAGCCAGCAAGTCTCATCTCTGCTGTTGGCAGAACCCTGGGGGGAAAAAAAAAGGATATTGCCTTGTTATGGGCTTTTTTTTGCGCTGTGTGTCCCTCCAGCTTTGCTTGGAGCAGGGTAGTGGGCACCACAGAATGAGGAGACCCCAGCTGCTGTGGCGAGCAAGAGGGAGGTCGTTCTTATCTGGGAACCCAGTCACAGATCCTCACTCAATGTTTGTGGCCCACAAAGCAGCAAGTTTCAAAACAGTTTGTGTAAGTAACTGCAAATTTAGATACCTAGCTCTGTTTTTCCTCTGTATGACCCACTACAGCTTTCAGAGCAACTGAGTCAAAGTTGACTTTAGAAGATTTTTAAAATCTTGGTTTCATGCCTTGTCATCTGTTTGAATATATATATATATAGAGGTCTATCTGAGAACTACATACACAGAGAAAAATGTTTTTCTTAAAAAAAAAAAATCTTTTGAAAAAAGTAAAATAAAATTATTTTTTTCCAAACTTTGGAACAAACTTGTGTGTAAAAGTAACAGGTAGGATGGGGAAGCAGGAAAAGCACCATGTCACTGAAGGACTGTGGTTGTCCAGGGACTTTCTGAAGGCCCTGCTATTGCTTCCCTGGGAATCTCTGGTATTTTTCAGGTAACACCTGCTATACTGCTTCAGAAGTCCTAAAATGTGTGTGTGTATATATATACCTGGTATCACAGCCATGTTTATAAGATCTCACTGATGCCAGAGAGATTATCGGGTTGCTA